AGTGAATTTGCTTTGGTTTACAATGATGATTAACTTAAAAAAAGAAAAGAAGATTTAAGAAACTTTAATTAAGAGACCAGCATTGGAGCACATAAATTTACAGGTCTCTTAATCCAATCTCTTAATTCACTTTTACAATTAAAAGGTATTAAAAAACAAATAAGAGACCCATTTAGGGTATATGGGTTAATGATGCTCTTAATATCAGATTAATTATCAGACAGAACTTAAGCTTCTTGTGTTTCTTATTATGTCGAACAGCAGTGATTCTCCGACAACCTGGAATAAACAAACGACGACGTTTCCTCTAGCTTCAATCGCATTGCCTTCTAAATCTTCTGATCACCAGTCTCCTCAATCCTCTCCAGGCTCATCTTCTTCTCCATCTCTGACGCCGAAACCATCTCTATCCGCCAGTGGATCTTCGACAAAGAAAATGACGACCGGATTATCCGGCCGGCACTCATTTTTCAGGGGAATTCGGCTACGGAATGGAAAATGGGTGTCGGAGATCCGAGAGCCACGTAAAACGACGCGAATTTGGCTCGGGACTTATCCGGTACCGGAGATGGCTGCCGCCGCTTACGACGTTGCAGCCCTTGCTCTGAAAGGCCCCGATGCCGTTTTGAATTTTCCCGGTTTGGCTTTGACTTATGTGGCTCCGGCCTCGAACTCTGCTGCGGATATAAGAGCTGCCGCCGCGAGAGCTGCCAAGATGAAGCAGCCGGACCCGGGTGGAGTTGAGCAGGTAATGGATCTGAGTCAACCCGGACAGGAGGAGGAGCAAATAGCAATGTCTTCTCCGTTGGAGTTTATGGACGAGGAAGCGATGTTGGATATGCCAAATTTGTTGACGGAGATGGCGGAAGGGATGCTGATGAGCCCACCGAGAATGATAAATCCGACGATGGATGATTCGCCGGAGAATCATGAAGGAGATACTCTCTGGAGTTACAAATGATTCCATCTAAGCTGTCTTTTTCTTTTTCTCTCCTATTTTTTTCAGGTCCGATGAGATTTTTCTTTTGTTTGTTTCTTTTTTTTTTTTGGCTTTTTGGGTCGTTGTTGTCAATCAAAATAGGTTATTAAGATCTAATATGTTGCATGCCGAATAGCTCTGTGATTGTTTTTTTCTACTTTTTCCTTTTAGACTTATGATTTTATTTTACAAAAAAAAAAGACTTATGGTTTATATGAGGCAAATATAGTCACAGAATTAAAAATATTTGGTATGTTGTGTTTTTTTGTGTATAAAAGTTCGCTAAGTTGTTTATGGTGTTTTTTTGTTTTGTTTTTGCTGGTCAATTGTTGATGATGCCTCTATAGAGAGAAATGTTTGTTTTAGGAAACAAAAGTATCAACTTCTAGAAGCAAAATTAAATTGTTGTGTACATGTGTCATGCTATGTTTGTGATATTGCAATGCAACCAGTGGTGGATCTAGAAAATAAAAATTGTGGGGGCAAAACATAAAATATAATTAAATAAAATTAGAAAATAATATTTTATAAAAAAATTTAGGAAATAAAAAAAATAATTTTTACAAAATAATTCTACGTTCACTCATCATTTGAATTTTTTTTATCACTTTCTCATTTGAAATCGAGTCAAATAACTCTTTTTCAATAAAGCAAACCATACAATCACTCAAAAACTGATCTCCTATTCGGTTACGTGCATCTGTCTTCACTAGCTTCATTGCTGAAAAACATCTTTCAACACTTGCGATGGCAACTGGTAAAGTTAGAACTAACTTTAAAAGTCTATAAACCAAGGGATGCGCAAGACGCTTTTGAGTTTTCACCATCAAACATGAAAAATATCCAAGATTTTCCACACTCTTAAATCTTTCGTCTCTGCGTATATTGTCGATGTAGATATCAAGTTGTTGCTCTAGAGACAAAAGCTCACCATAGCTAAAATCATCTGGATATAACTTAGCTAATCGCACCAGCTTCTCTTTGTCAAACCCATGGAATGAATCAATCGGGCTTAAAGCAGCCATACATATAAGTAGATCAGTGGTTACCTCTGTAAAACGATCGTTGAACTCTTGAATCTGCAAATCAAGAACCGTGCAGAAGCAATTGACCTTATAATGATGCATATTACTTATGTTGGTTCTCTTTCTTGGATACCTAAGATCAACAAAATCTTCTTCCATGCTGAGCATTTCAACATTGTGTTTCTTACAGATTGAAGCAACTTTAGCCATAAGCAAATCCCATCCATCATCTCTAAGCTTCTGTAACTCTCGTTTAGTGGATTCTACCAGTGACATGGCATTCAAAATATCTTGATTTTTCTGTTGCAAAGTCAATGACAAATTCGCAGTAAGCCCCAAAATGAGTAACATAAGATGCAAATAGAACACACAGTCAAATGTGTGAAAATATTTGAGAAGACCACATGCTTGACGTTTCTGTGAGTCTTCCCAACCTTCATCTTGGACATACTCAAGAACTTTAATGGTAGTAGAAAACAATTCTTCCAACCTCAACAGTGTTTTGTGATGAGAACCCCAGCGAGTAGTTGCAGGTCTTGATAAAGAACGTTCCTGATTTTGTCCTGTCCCAGTCTTAACATCACCACTCTTGATTCTTTTTTCTAAATCCTCACGTTGAATTTCTCGAAACTTATCTTGTCGTTTACAAGAAGCCCCAACAACATTCAACAATGTAGAAATCATATCAAAAAAATCAGCAATATCAAAGTGTTTTTTTTGCAACAGCCACCACAACCAGTTGAAGCTGATGAGCAAAACAGTGAACATAATATGCTGAACTGCTTTCTCTAGCAACCAATGATCTCAATCCATTAAACTCACCCCTCATATTACTAGCTCCATCATAACCTTGTCCTCGCACCTTTGTAATGCTCATCCCATATCTAGCAAACAAATCATCTATAGCAGACTTCAGAGCTAATGAAGACGTTTCTTTTACATGAACAACTCCAATAAATCGCTCTTTGATTGCTCCCCTTTCATCTACAAACCGAAAAACAACACCCATCTGCTCTTTATGAGAAACATCAGCAGACTCATCAACCAGCAAACCAAACACACCATGACCAATTTCTTTTAAAATAGCTTCTCGTACTTCTTCTGCAAAGGAATTGACAATATCTTTTTGAATCTTGGAAGAAATCATCTGATTGTTTCCTGGAGCATTTTTCAGAATAATCTTACTTATAGCATTATTCTGTTCTCCTGTATATTTCAGAAGCTCCAAGAAATTCCCTTTATTCACATCATCCTCTTTCTCACCATGACCACGAAAAGGTAATCCTTGTCGTAGCAAGAATCTTGAAGCATCAATCGAAGCATTTAAGCGAATACGATACTCATTTTTCACCTTATCATCTTGCTTAAACAGAGCATGTACTATAGTCTGATTTTGATTCATCAAATCTTCACATTTCTGAGCAGCAATAATGTGACAACTGTTGGGTGGTTTACCCATATGAGTAAGCAATCTCTCTGGCTTCTTCCAACTTTTAAACCCTTCTTTCACAAAAGCATCACCTCCACCTTGCTTTCGTACCTCATCTTTAAATAAGTAGCAATATAAGCAAAATGCACTTTCTTTAGATATGCTATACTCTAGCCAACTACCATATTGATCAAACCAAGCTGGATTGAATCGCCTCGTTTCACTTCCTTTCGATACTTGTTTGAATTTATGACCATAGGGTTGACATGGACCTTTAGTGAGATATCTACGTCTAATCTCGTCTCTTTGATTTGCAGGGTAATCCATTATGTCTTTCCTTTCACCAGGGTCAGATGGTAAATCATCGATAGCTTCATGTATTGGAGGCGATTTTCTTTTCTCTCTCCTTTCATCAGGTTTAGGTGACAAATCGTCGACATTGATTTTAGGTCCTGAAGAAGATATTTTTTTGTAGTATCTTTCCATTGATTTTTTTCTGTTAAAGAAAAAAACTGCATTAAAAATACAATAGAAAAATTGACCAAAAACTTTATAATATTTTATATCATCATCACATAAGAGAAAACAAGTCAACCACTCCACTTTCAAAATTTCTCAAAGGTACGGTTTATCTAAAAAGCAGTAGAATTGAAAAGGTTTAGTTTATATAATTATAAGTCTGAGGTTGCTTTTCTTTATACTATTAGAATAAACTATTAACTATGAAACATTAATAAAATAAACAAAGACAAAAAAATACCTTTGTTCGAGAACGGATGGAGAACGGTAGACGACGAGAACACACGAACAACAAACTTGATTAGGGTTTTTATTTTGGAAATTAGTTAGTAACTTTAGTAATTAGAATAATTATGTCAATTTGGTATAAAAATAAAGATGTTTCTAAAAATGGGCTTTAACTAGCAAACTGAATGGGCTCTGGCCTGTGGGGGCAACATCAAAATTATGGTTGTATTTTTTTTTTAAACTAGAGAAAATCTTAATAAATTTTTTTTTGGGATTTTTTTTGTGGTGGCAGTTGCCCCCTCTACCCCCTGCGTACGTTCGCCACTGAATACAACTCCACCGAACTGAGTTGTCTGGTTGATTAAGTCTTACTAGCTAAATGGACCAAGCTAAGTGGATCATTTACGCTCTACTTGAACCGACTGAACCAAGTCAAGTGGACTGATTAAGTCCTGCCGAGCTCGTAAGTTGGTTTTGTGGATGTTTCAAACCAATGTGCAGAGCTGAGTAATAACCGTAGAACCTATACAATGAGTTGAGCTGAATAAATACAGTTAAACAGCTACAAAAATAGTGTTCAAGAAATCACTAGGTAATAAATGCTTTGTACATGATTAGATTATCTGGGGTTTGGGTGGGGCCTAGGCATTCACAAATTATCAATTTATTTTATATATTTATTACATTTACATGTGATATTTAAGTTTTTAGTCTAATTAAAATTATTTGATGAATATATAAATGACATATTCCAAGAAAAAAAATTAGACAAATTTGTGGATTTGCACTAATGCTATTACTTAATTTAACAAATTTAGACCAATTTAAATAGATTTAGATCAATTTCAACAAATTTAAAATAAAGCAACAAAATTAAATCTATTTAAATTGGTCTAAATTTGTTAAATTAAGTAATAGCATTAGGGAAAATCCATAACTTTGTCTAGTTGAATTTCGTTGCTCTGTTTCTGTGTGCTCTTGATGTTCTGGTGAGGATCCGACATGTTTGATAGATGTGAAAGTCTCGGCATGGAGGAGCGTGGAGGCGCATGAAGTTTTATTTTAGAATTCAGTGACTAAAGACGGGTCTTTCTTAGATGATGGTGTGTGGTGGTTGTTTTCCGCCAGCATCAGAGTTTGATTTTCCGTTGATTCTTATATCAACTTGTCTTGTTGTTGGCCTTGTACTGAAAAGCATGTGTCATATGCTTCTTCTGGTTGTGCGGTATCTATCCTATAATGAATCTCCGATTCTCGCCCACCTTTGTAGTTGTTCATTTTAGGGTTTCATTTAGTTTGTGGGTTCTTTGCTAATCTTATGAGATTGATATCGAATGATCTGTCGTAAAATTCAGATATGGGTGTAGTTTTTCTTTGTTCTAGAATCGGTATAGCAAAACAGTAGTGGTATGTGGAGATTAGCTGTAGGTTTGCTGAGAAGAAAATGTTGGTTTCAGGTAACCTTCCATCTCCCAGGTTCAGAAGAGTCTTCATGTCCTTCGATAAGTCTATCTTTGGGTTTGTCCTTCATCTTTGGTTTTTCTAGGTAGCTTCTTTGTGGTGAAGGATTATATGAGGCTTTGAGGCGTCTGGATAAAGGTGTGGTTGAGTAGTGAATTCTCCTAGGTGTCGGGTCTTCATGATTTTCGTCTTTATTTTTTTTATTGGATGTTTGTGGTCATCATGAACGAGTGGTTCAGATAAAGTTTCATGTTCCTCATGAAGAACTTCTACATTTCTTGCTCTCTTTCTTTGTGTCTTGCAATAGTTTTGGCTACTCA